TTTTATTTTAATTACAAGTTTTAAATAAGTAGAAAATGCGGTAATTAATTACATTTTATAAAAGAAAGAGAAACAACTTAAAACTCCGTTATAATACTTAAATTTTTGCATCTTTTAGATTTATATTTAAATTTTCTTACATTCAAATTACATTAAAGTTATTTATTTTTCTAAACTTTTAATAAAAACAAAATTACATTTTCAATATATTTTCAGATCAAATATTTCTTGTATATAACAAAGTCATATACGTCGTACATTTTCAAGTAAAAATAAAATGAATATTTTTCAATAATTCCTGATCTTGTAATTATGCCATTTATGGGTAATGAATTTTTCATTATTGTTTGAAAGCCATAAAATTTCATGAAAAAACATACAGAAATTTCCTTTTTTTTATTAAGGTCTCCTTTAATTTAATCAGAGTTTCTTAAGTAGTGAGCCTCAAGCAATATAGAGAAGTTATACGCCATGTTTTCAGATTTAATCTACAGAAAATCTTGGTAAATATTAATCTACGTGTTGTATACTTTCTAAGTAATAACGAGTAAAAATTACAGTAATATCGTCACAATACCGGAATTTTTAATCATATTTTTAATTTATTTCATTTAAAATATACGCTCTCCACCACAAATTAGTAATGTCTCGCCCCTGTAAATCATACTTTTCCCGAAAGCAGCAGAGCCATGCTGGTCATCTATCTAACTCCAGTTTTACTTGATTTACTGGTTATCAATTTAAAAAATAATAAATATTTTTAGTCCATTAAAATCTAATTAATATCTGTTAATTAATAAGGTATACGCAATAATTTTCAAATTATTTAGGAAATTTCAAAATTTATAATATATATTGATATATTTGTATTTACTTTTTGAAAATTTTCGTAAATTTCAGTATTTCAACGCCGAACTTCATACATTCATAGTTAAATAATTATATAAGGACGTATAAGTAACTAATCGAGACGTGATTCTATCAAAGACACATTAGAAAATTTAATTAGTTTTTCCTGAAAGACACTCACTAACTTAAAATCATTCGGAGTAATTTGTTTGCGCAAACATGTGCCAAATCAAATAGAACTGATTTTATTTTAATTACAAGTTTTAAATAAGTAGAAAATGCGGTAATTAATTACATTTTATAAAAGAAAGAGAAACAACTTAATACTCAATTTCTCTCTCCATACAGTAACTCAGTTCTTATCATGTCACCAACAGACAGAACGCTTCTGTATATTTTCTTGCCAACTGTGTATGACAGCTCTCANCATGATGAAAAAATTTGTAAACAAAATGGTTGCGTTCAAATCATTGTAATCCGCAATGTTTAAATCGAGGGCATTCTGCATGACATGCAACAGCGTAGTGACTGCTAACGGTATCTCGACTGCCAAAAACACAGTCACTACGACAATTAACATTAAAGTAGTACAATTACTATCTCTTAATTTCTTACATTCGCTTTTACGATTCTCGTTGAACAATCTTTCACGTTTTCTCTGCGCTTCTTTAAGGGCTTTCAATAGAAGCACGTTGAGGACGACCAAAGCTGTACAGGGACCAATGTGTACAAACACTATGCGAAAACCGTAATAAAACGTAAAATATGCATTTTCTGTAACAAATTCTCTCACCCATCGCGCCGTTTGAAAGCCGCACCGCCAATGAAATTCACCATTTACGGGGAATTTTATGGAACAGTATTCTCTATCGAAGAAGCGAGTTGATTGATGAAACAGAGAAAATATAAACACCCAAACCATGGCTCTTAGAACTTTGGGCACTTGGCACCAAGTACGAGCCGTAGTCGGATGACATACGTAAATATATCTTTGTACAGCCAACAATAACGTTAACCATATAGAAGCCGTATGAAAGAAACTGGGTAAAATTTCAATCATGCAATGATAAGCGTAACAGGCAGATGGTGGATATAGAACCTTTGCGTGATTTCCTAGTGTATACATGTAAAAATACCAAGGTGCAGGAAATAACAGTGTTAACATATCGGAAATTGCCATGGCCAAGAGTACTAAATTAGTCGGTGTCCTCATGTGCCTCTGCGATAACACCACGACTATTAAGGTGTTGGCAACGATCGTCACTAGAAGCAAAAACGGCATGATGTAACCAAACAAAGGCATAGCGTAACGGAATGGCAAGTCCCGCGAAACATTAACCAGATTAAAAGGTGTATTTAGATAATATGATGATTCCTCTGATATGTTTGTGCTATTGATGCTATCATCAAATGATACTATGTGTTCGGTGATTATTTCTGTAGTTGTTTCCGACTCCATCTTCTTCTGTTTCGTATGTGCTGTAGTAGACGATAGGTCACCGAATATTCAAGCAAACTAACTGATATTGAAAATGCCAACAAAAAAACTCCTGGTTCATTATCGGCAATCAAGCGCTTCACTTTGATTTTTCTTCGCTTGATTATAAACACCTGAAAAATAAACATTTCTCTTGTTATATAATAAAATTAGCATAAGAATTTTAAAATTTAAATAACTTATAATACAATATATGTCATTTCAATTATGAGTTATTGTAGCGAATCCATTTGGCCGTCGGTTGAAATGAATATATAAATTTCTATATTGTAGAGAACATGAAAAATTTATGAAGAAAATATATTTAGCATTTATATCAAGAAATTTGCAAATGTTTCGAGTATTTACTAATAAAAATTCCTAATTTAAAAACATAAATAAAAAAACTTATACAGCAATTTTTAATACATAACCATCCACTCCGCTGTGTGGACTTGTGATGCGAAAATGACAAATGCCCACCAGTGGCCGAATCGATAAAACTACTGTAGACTGGTCGCGGTTCGAACCTCACCAAAGGATTAGCCACGTGGAGGATCCTGAGTTTTATTACTCCTACGTAGGATCAAACGAGATGCCTCCCAGGAGAATTTTCTGTAGGAAAATGGCACCTATTTATGTGTTAGATACGTGAAGAAAACACCGAAAACTTTATGTGGCCGGTCTACAGATGAGCAAATCCGCGACCAACTACTAGTGTTCAGTGTTAATCTAATTTTCTTTTAAGAACACGAACTTGAAGCCATTAAATGTATTGTATTGTAAACTAATATTTTAAACAGAGAATACTTTTTAAAACAAGTTTTTCTCTGTATTTTAATCCTCCATCCCTCCCTACTCTACTTGTACACCCAATATTCTTCAACTCGTTAGTGTTCTGTGTAAATTGTTTATGCGAATTAACTAACTAAACTCCCATCAGTAGCCGAGTTAATAAAACCAATGAATATATGTAGTTTGACATGTGTCGTGACACTAAATCCTATTTATATGCTAGCCACGTGAATAAAATGCGGAAAACTTCACGTGACCAGTCTGTTGATCATTAGCATTCAGTAGTTTTGTCTGCTTGGCTACTGGTGGATCTAGAACATTGGAATTGATGGATAGTATGAAGTAGACTGTGCTTCACATTATATCGACAATGTTATAAAATATAAATGACTCCCATTCGAACAATCATCACAGTGATCCCAATCCACCAATTGAGAGATGGCATTCAGATTAGCTTCACTTAAAAATTTATTTATTTTATAACAACTTAATGCAATAAAGTAATTATATGTGGACGAGAAAGTTTGATATAATGAATAGTTTCAGGAAAAGAAAGAAACCTTCATTTGTACAAAGTAAACAGGCTATTTTCAGTGCCTTTAATGTAAATAGTATGGAGAGAATCTTATTACACTATCTTACAATTTGCAGCAACGGTATTCTTTTCTACTTCTCTAAAATTAAATCTGTGAATAATGCCTCTAGTTATAAGGGGAAAAAAAGGAAAAAATTATTAAAAAACCGCGTCAAAGTATTGATTGAAAGAACAACTTTCAAGAAAATTTTATTTAGTTTCCTGAATAATATTGATTAAGCATCTTATCTGTTGAAAAAAATAAATTTAATTATAGATTTAACTTGAAATTTTGTGAAAAGATTCCGCTTGATTGAATATTTGTCAATATATACTTTTTCTAACAAAAGTAATATTAGTAAATTTTTAAAAAATCCTAAAAAGATGTGATGTGTTGAAATTCATAAAATATTTTAAGTAATTGCTGTAATTTAATGTAATTAACCAGTTGAAAAAAATAAATTTAATTATAGATTTAACTTGAAATTTTGTGAAAAGATTCCGCTTGATTGAATATTTGTCAATATATACTTTTTCTAACAAAAGTAATATTAGTAAATTTTTAAAAAATCCTAAAAAGATGCAATGTGTTGAAATTCATAAAATATTTTAAGTAATTGCTGTAATTTAATGTAATTAACCAGTTGAAAAATTATATATTCTACATAATAACACAGAATTTCATGAAAAGTAATGTAATAATCATTAAATACGTTATCAAATAATGACATTTTATAGCCCATTAGTGGCGAGTGAATAGAATTACTAAAAATTGATCACGGGTTCGTACCTGACCGACAGGCTGGCCACGTGGAGTTTTCCGGGTTTTATTCACATGTCTAACAACTATAAAGTGGTCAGTTCACCACAGAAATCCTCACAAACCCGGCAGATCTCTCGTGTGTGAATTTCATGAAATTTTCGCGTAAGTATTTAAATCAATGAAATTTTTTGATTCTTCAATTTCTTTAAGAAAAGAAAATGTAAATACTTTATAAATTGTAGATTAATGGGATAAGTTAAAGCAACACCCGAGCGATCTGCCATGGAAGAAGACTCCCTTTTTAGGTGTTAGACACTTGAAGAAAATTCCACGTGGTTAGTCCACTGATAAGGTGCGAACCCACGACCAACCACCAGTGTTCGGTAGTGTTATTCACTCGGTCACTGGCGGAGTAAATAATTTAAATCAATTAAATTTGAAGTTTTTCAAATCTTCCTCACATTCAACTAACAAAGTAATCAAGTAAATTTAATGATTGATCGTCGAAATGATAATAAAATATCGATTTAAAGATAATTTATATTTAAATATTCTCTAATATCGATAATTTTACGACGTTCTAAATCATAAAATCCGAAATTTATTATTAAGAGCATTCATAATTTGAAGCCATTTCAATATAATGTACCGATAATAAAATGGATGGTTGGAGAAGATTTGAATCATAACGAAGGAATTGGTTGTTTAAACGCTTATACATTCATTAATTTCAAAATATCTTCCAAAAATAATAATAATAACTACTAATTCTTGTTGGAGACAGGGTTAATGCTCTGGTGTCATGTCAAAATCTAAAGTTATAAGAGAAATAGTCTGATAAATAACATAATAATAACGATACATATCATAACAACCGTATAACTATGTAATAAAGTTATCAGAATAACCATTAGATATGAAAGTAACTAGAATTCTTCGTACAGAACATTGATAATAAACAGAAAACAAAATAATTCATATACAAAATATCGGTTAAAGCACCCCATAAAAATATTTTATTACACCCAGCCCTGTTTGAACAGTAATTTAAATTTAATAATATAAAATAAAAGTTATAAAAGTAAAGAAAATTTTTCTAATTTTTGTTTTTTCGCTTAAAGATTGCTAAAAGTTTATCGCTGAAATGATCATTCTTTCCTTAACTGGGAGAAAATATCCGAAAACGAAAGAATCTGTGACCATTTCCAACAACACAATTGAAAAATTGGATTATTTTAAGACAGCAAATGTGAACGTTTTGACAGACCAAAGTGAAGCAAAACCTAATAAAAACTTACTCAGTAAATCAAAGGAAACACTTTATTTTGTTTAATACTTGTCCAGGGATTTGATAAAAATAAGTTAAATTTTTTTTTCTGGCGAGGAAAACACCTTTTCTTTTAATTCTGTAAGTTATAAAAAGTATTTTTAAAAGTTTATTTTAAAGTATTAATTTTTTTTTTGTTTTTCAACGAGCAATTGTTTATCGTGACATCGTCACAATGCCAGGATGCAACTTTTAATAATATTTTTTAAAACTTATTTAATGTAAAATATATGCTCCACACCTCAAATTAGTAATGACTCGCCCCTGTACATCAGATTTTTCCTGCTAGCAAAAGAGTCGTGCCGATCATCGTTCTCGAAATCGAGGAAGGACAGACAGATAAACGTCAGTGACGATAATGGGTATTTAATAATACAAATTTAGTCACATTTGTATGGTGACATTTCAAGTCACTCGGAAGACATTTCTGTAAAAACAAAAATTGCACCAAAATTCGCCACTTTGGCATTTTTGGCTCTGTAAGCTACAACTATTTTATTTGTACAAAACACACGTCCCATGAAAAAAATCTTGTCGCAGGAGTTACTACTTAAGTCTTTATTCTTTTCTTTGTTTTCGTGTCGCAAACGTAATGCTACTAATTGATGCTTTTGTTAGGAATTTGAATATTTTAACTTATTTCTAACATCTTAACTACGATATCCACTACCGAACACTGAGTTGATCGAGGGTTCGTGCCTGACCGTGTAGAATTTTACGGGATTTCTTCACGTGTCTAGCATCTTAATAGAAGCCAATTCCCTCATAAAAGTTTTGCTTTTTTGGCGGATCGCCCGTGTGTCGCATTGCCTTATCCCACTAATCCAATGTAATTCTTAACTACTCGCTCGTGCCTTTATTAAATTTACACTTAACTGTTTGATTTTTCTTTTACCCGTGTCTTCGTATTAAAAAACGTTAGTGAAATCAATGAAATAAGGAAAATTTGCACTTAGTTTTTGATTTCTCTTATCACTTAAGAAATTCCCCAGGATAACAATCAGGTATCGAGTAGAGATTTCCCTGTTTCCTCTTATAACCTTTGTAAATTGCTACGTATTATATAACAAAGTAGTACAGTCAATAATACATTTAATATTGCAGGAATGCTTTCCTTTTGTGCATCACGCACCAAGAATAATTCTTTAAATAAATTGTTAATACATATTTTAATTTTGTAACAAATCAATTCTTATATCTAATTATGGAATAAATATATCTTACAATTTTTAGAAGAAAAATAGGATGGATCTTTGATTTTTTACACTAAAAAAATATAAAATTACAAATTCTTTCCTACCATTTCTCTATAAAATACAATTAGTTGAAATTTTTAGCTCTGATATGCATGAACTATCCATTAGTTAAGTCAATAATAAATTGTAATTAAAACTATTTAATTTATGTTAAAGAAGATAGATCAAGCCATGCATGCTTTCCACCCTAAAGAACAGCATCCAGTGAAACGTTGCGAAGTATTCGTCGATGTAAACAGTCGAGGTACAACGAATATCTTTCAGACTACTTAAAATTGTTCAGTTTTTATGAAAATTAATTTAAAAATACACATTAATAACCCATTTTATGTAGTTTATAAGTTAGTTTTTATGTAGTTTACTTTGGTAGATAAGTAATCTAATGCTGTATAGCAACGTTGTTTACACTTATA